AAATGTCTAATTTTCGAATTGTATGTTCAAAAGATTTTACAAATCTATTGAGTCTCTGTCAGATTTTAAATTTGATGAAAACTGTTTTTTTTTTTATTTTTTTAATTTTTTTTTCAGAGAGAATATTTGAAAAAGACAATTTCTGACGATATTTTTCCTGCGTTCGATCATTTTTCCGAGATTGCCTTTCGCAGTCGTGAGAATTCTTTTCGATCACCCCGTGTAAGAGAAACACACGAACTGCCGGACTGCGTTCGAAGGGCGATGCACCAACGGTTACCGTTCCCGGAGGGCGGTTACCGTTTTCCCCTTGGTTCTCTCTGTTCCACCATAACTACTACCACCACTACAAGCGACGACCCTCGTTGGAACAGCCCTGGTTCGAAGGGTTGGAACGGTCGATGCAGCGTTACCATGGAGACCAGACGCGCCGTCCGCCACCCCTTCCCTCCACGATGCATTCAACCGTGGGGTTGCGATGTGCGTTCGAAAATGCAACGGTACTTCGATAACTAGAATTATCTTCGCCAAGGACACGTCTTTGCGCTTCCTTTTCTCTGATTCTCCCTCCTCTAAGGAAAGAGGCATTTTTTATTCAACGCGCTTCCTACACGCGTGAAGAAAAATTAATTTTCCGTAGAGTGGTTGACTCTCGCCACGTTCGCGTGTCGTGGATGTTGTTAAAAATATAACTTTGTTCTCTTTCTTGGAAGTAATATTACAACAGGTGATATTAAAAAAAAAAAAAAAAAAACAATTATAAAGAAGACAAATTACAATTAAAAAAAAGCTATGAAGGAGGAAAAGATTAGACGACGCGTAAAAACAAGAAAAACTGGTGTATATAATGGATGAGGTTTTTTGCGCACATTGCGCGTTCAACCGTAGACGATCTGCGATTCGTTCTTTCGTAAGTTCGCAACATGTACGGAACATTTCGCTACGCTCCTTGTGACTTCGGCCTCGGTATGTTAAATGCGGCTTTCCGGCGACCTCGGCTTCCCTCAGGAGCGTTCACCTTTTATCTCGGCAGTTAATCGAAATTCTTGCACGAAGACAGCACGCGTCGGTCGCGCTCGCACTCGCTAGCGTAGTACTAGTAACAAGCGTTTCCTGGAGCGCGCAGATGTTCTTTGTTCTCTTCGCCCGTCTCTCTTCCGTCTCGTTTTCTCCGCCTTTTCCACGTTATTCTTATTCTCTCGCGCTTCCTGACTTGTTAGCAATAATCAATTAAAGTATAAATTTCTGGGGGTTTTTTTTTGTTGTTTTCTTTTGTTTTCTCTTTCGTATCGGAGAATCTAATCAATATAATTTGAACGACTTTGTGAGATAATTGTCTCGATTGTTCTTTTTTCGTTGATAATATATATATATATAAAATCAATGGGTAGCACTCGAAGCTTTTCGAAAGATAATATTTTAGACGGATTTTGTACGTTTTTTTGCTCGACAAAATACTCACTTTTTTTAAATTCCTTTTTATTCTCTCTTCTTCGCACGCGTGTTTTATCACTTTCTTTGCTCTTCCTCCTTCCGAGCGTGAAAAGCGAGCGTGTTGTCGCCATAGTATCCGATAAATTTACTCAACCGGGTGGGAGAGAGGTACGATAACCTTCGCATTCATGACCTTGGACTCCGCGGTCTATACCAGTCCTCCCTTGTTCTGCCTTTTCCTCCGCTGTCGGCGCACAGCGTCGTTCTCTTTACTCTAACCCTTTGACCGGTCCCTCTCTATTCCGCGGCTGCCGGCGGATGAAGCGTGAAAATTTCCGGTGTTCGAGCAATTTAATTTAAAAAAATCAACTTTGCGTTGCGGAGCAAAACACGAATTTCCGCGACGCGTAGGAGTAGGAAATTGATGTTGTAACGACTAGTGGGCCATCGATCAATCAATGAATAAACTCGGTTGAAAGAGACCGTATCGGAAAAAAATTCTAAGGTATTAGATGGATTCGAACTCTCGGAATCTTTTGATTCGTGCAGAGGCAGCGAGATCGTTGAGCCGGTCGGGAAATTAAAAGAGAGAATCAACATGTGGAAATGGCAAGAAGCGAGCGAGCGAGATATATATATATATATATAAAGTGTCAATCGTTTTAAATAATTAATCAACTGTTTTGCGTCATCACAGATTTCTTAATAACGACAAAATGTAACGTAAAAAGGAATATGTATATTTTGTATATAAATGTGAAATGTTTTCTGCTTTCAGGGATGCCGGTTGACTGAAGATGGCATCGCCGACACCCTCGCTGGAATCGCGCGCTAATTCTATCGGGTCCCCGGTCTCGGTATCCCCGGTAACGGTGAGCGGCAGTTCGCCGCATGCTAGCGACTCGGCGATTTTCGACGTCGACAGCGACTCGTATATCGACGCACCGAAGCCGGGCGAGGACCCGTATCCAAGCTGTCGACTGGGTAGCAGTCACACTCCTTGCACCGGCTGCAAATCGACAGCTGAAGCTGGCGCTGTGGCGCGTTGTTACGACTGTAACAACTTTCTCTGTTCGAACTGTCTGATGGCACACCAGTACATGCACTGCTTCGAAGGTCACCGGGTGTTGAATTTTAGCGATTCCAAGTTGGAGACCGTCGGCAGCAGTAACGGCAGCACTGGTAGCAGTAGCAGTTGCGGCAGCTGCGGCGACGGCGGCGGCAGCGGCAACAGCAGCAGTAGCAGCGGTAGCGGCGGCGTCGGCGGCGGCGGCGGCGGCGGCGGCGGCGGCGGTGGTAGTGGTGCTGGTGGAGGAGGAGGTGGAGGAGGTGGTGGTGGTGTTGTTAGTGTTGGTGTTGGTGGAAGTGGTGGTAGTGTTGGTGGTGGCGGCAGCGGAAGCGGCACCATTACCGCGACGACAGAATTGCCGAAGAATATCTGTAACGGAAGTAACAGCGGAGGTGGCAACAGCTTAGTAATCAACGGTAATGTTACCAGCAATGGCGGAAACGGTGAAAAAGTGCACATCTGCACGCGACACAAGCAAGAGATACTTATGTATTTCTGTCGCACTTGTTCAACGCCGATATGCAAAGAATGCACATTGACAGAGCACGTGGCACCGCTACACGACTGTGCTCACATTTCCGAAGTGGGTACGCAACAGCTGGAAGCGTTGGCGCGAACCGTTCAGGAGTGTCGCGCCAAAGCGGCGGATGCGCGTGCAGTTGTCAAAGCGGCGGACCACAACTCAGCGGTGCTGCAAGTGCAGTATCACAAGGCGCAAAACGAAATCAACGAAACCTTCAATTTCTACCGGTCGATGTTGGACGAACGCAAACAAGAGCTATTGAAGGAGCTCGAGTCAGTATTCTCGACGAAGCAGCTGTCTCTAAGCGTGATCGGGCAACGTGCTAACGAGATGGCGGATAAAATGATACAAACTTGCGATTTTGTCGAGCGCGTCACCAAGATTACCAGTATCACTGATTTCCTGATGGTCAAGAAACTACTCGAATCCAAACTTCAGACGTTGCTTAATTACACGCCAAATACGGACATAACGAGTCAGACTACGGATCTCGAATTTGTCAGCAATTTCCAAGCTATACAGGTCGGAGTTAGAAATACATTTGGTTATGTGCGAAGTAGTAATAACAGCGAGAACAGTACCGTTTCGATTGTCAAGCAGCCACCGATCGCGCGACCAACCGCCTTGTCGAGCAACGGCATCAGTAGCAGCAGCAACAGCATCGTCAGCAACGGGCCGGGAAGCGGCGCGAGTTCTCTGGGCGGTCTTCTTCTGGAACGGACCTACAGCAACGGTTTGATCTCCACCAATATGAATTGCGGCTCTTCGTCTTCGCCTTCCTCGATCGACACTATCAGCACCGTGATCTCGAAACGTTTCAGTTCGGCCAACAGCCTCGGCCCATTCTCCACAACACTTAGCGACGTGAATGTGAATGGCGTGGCTAATCCTTACGAGAAGTGGAGTAACGGTAGCGACAGTTATCCGGTGGTAACGACAAACGATCACTTTGCGATACCGCCGACGGTAGCCGTGGCGGCGAACGCCGCAGCCGGCGATTCCGTCCTTGAACTAACATCGAAGCTAATGTCCGCCACCGCAATATTTCCACCAAAGTCACAGATCAAACGGCAGAAAATGATTTATCATTGCAAGTTCGGTGAATTTGGTGTGATGGAAGGTCAGTTTACAGAGCCATCGGGCGTCGCGGTGAATGCGCAGAACGACATCATCGTCGCTGATACAAATAATCATCGTATCCAGATCTTCGACAAAGAAGGAAGGTTTAAGTTTCAATTTGGAGAATGTGGCAAGCGAGACGGTCAACTGTTGTATCCGAATCGGGTCGCCGTCGTCAAGACGTCTGGCGACATTATCGTCACGGAACGTTCACCGACTCATCAGATACAGATTTACAACCAGTACGGTCAGTTCGTGCGTAAATTTGGCGCGAACATTCTTCAGCATCCGCGCGGCGTTACTGTCGACTCGAAAGGACGAATTGTCGTTGTAGAGTGCAAGGTGATGCGCGTCATCATCTTTGATCAGACCGGCAATGTGTTGCAGAAGTTTGGCTGTTCGAAACATCTCGAGTTCCCGAATGGCGTGGTGGTGAACGACAAACAAGAGATCTTTATCAGCGACAATCGAGCTCACTGCGTCAAGGTTTTTAACTACGAAGGTGCTTATCTGCGACAAATAGGCGGCGAAGGTATAACCAACTATCCAATTGGCGTAGGCATCAACACTCACGGCGAGATACTGATAGCGGACAATCATAACAACTTCAACCTGACCATTTTCACGCAAGACGGCCAATTGGTTTCCGCTCTTGAGAGTAAGGTCAAACACGCGCAATGTTTCGATGTGGCGTTAATGGATGATGGTTCGGTTGTGTTGGCCAGCAAGGACTATCGGCTTTATATATATCGCTACGTACAGGTCCCGCCTATCGGTATGTAGAACAGCGATACGCTGTGACGACGACGATGATCCTCATCGATACATTTGTCATCGCCGTCATCGTGCCGTCATAGCTGCTTTTCACCAGCTGACGGCCACGGGATCACCGTGATCTCATCTATCTTTCGTGCTAGCCTGTCTTCTACTGTGCTTGTTCTACTGTCAATGCTCGCGCGCTCCACTCATCGCCACCTGCCCATCTTTGCCCGCCCTATCCACGAGACGTTTCACGAACCGCTGACCATGAGAGAAAAAAAAACGAACAAACAAAAGGAGAGAGCGCACGAAATGCGCTCCGCATGTGATTCCCGAGGGATCCTCGACTTCCGAGCGAGCGTCGTTTTCCGCGACGAAACTGGAGTCAACCTGTGTGCCGAAACTTGCTGCGGACTCCGCCGAACGACGGATGATAATCATCGACGGTATGGGAAAAAGCGCGCTCCCTTCGATGCTCTCTTCGCGAGCTCCCCTTGTTCGTTCTGTGTGAACGAACGGAAAAACGGAGACGCGATGATCCGCGTGTGTACGCGCGCGATGCTGCTGGATCTTGAGGACCCGCACCGACAAAGAGAGAATGAAAAAGAGAGAGGATGTAATCAACCCTGCCCCGACACGTATTCGCGCGCGCGCGCGCGCGCTCCTTTCTCTCCGCGCGTACGCGCGCCGTATATAAATTATTATATATGCGTGCGCGATAACTTACATTGTTAATGTTGTTATAATACTGAAAATACTGTTGTTGTTGTTTAGTTGTAGAGCTCGCCGCCGCTAGTCACTTCCCCCCTCCCTCGCCTTCCACTCTCCGCTCCTCTTCACGCCCGTTACCATCCCCTTGTGCTCAGCTTCCCCGTTAACTAACCACGATCTTCTCTCTAAAACCTCGTTTGACGATCACATCGAAAAAAAAAACAAAAAACAGGGCGTTTATGTTCCTCCACGACAAAGACACGGTTTCATCACTTAACATTATTCAAATTATTAACACGCGCATTTGCGAAAGATTGTTTTTTTTTTTTTTATTCTCTCTATTCGATGATGGTCGATCGAATGCGACGTTCGGTTATTTCGTGTTCGATCAACGCGGTTCGTTTTTCGTCAACGTGTGTTGTTCTTGGAAATTTCACATTTATTGCATAAAGTTCGCGAGAAACGGCATTGTCGCACGAAGTCTCGTTTTCGGCGCGTATATATATATGTATATATATATATATATATACAATACAATCTCTTGGGAGATCTTATTAAAGTCAACGCACAGGGATTCGACGGTTTGCGCGCAAACTTCTCTCTTAAACAGGTTTGATCATGATGTCTCACGAGACGCGAAACTGATCTTTTTGTTACGCGAGTTTATATACGATTTTGTACATTTCGTGCGTTTTAAATGTAGGATGTGTCCGTATACACACACAGTGTTCCTCTTATTTAATGTATTAATGACACACACACACACACACATCCATCAGGGAGATCTCTGATTATAATCGAGTTTTCTCTTCGAAATTTCTTCGTACGTTTTGATCTTATTGCCCGTAAAGAGGACATTTAATTATTAATTCATACATTAGCGATGTGTTTGCACAGATAATCGCGCAAACGGATTGTTTGTGAAAACCGTAGTAATTTTATAATGTAATTTCTTTTTAAGATATAGTTTCGACACAGATATTTAAGTATATATACATGTAACAACCTCGCTCAAGGTTGTTGGACCGTGCATGGACGTGTTTAGAATCGAACTGATCATTTGAGACCAACGATTATTGACGTTAGAATCGTTGCGAGAAAATCGTCCCGTGGAGTCCACAATAACGAAATACAAAATGATGGAGCATGCATCGCAGATCGAATTGTATTTCCGAGTTGTTGATTTTTCTTCTTTTTTTTTTTTTTTCTCTCCGCGCGTATATATGTATATTATTCGGATAACCTTTTCCGTAGCAGTTGTAGACTATTTTTCATATTACGGAAACTACGTTTTCCGAAAGTGCGTTTCGTGAATCGTGCATTATATTAGCGACTGAACAGTTTTTCGCGTCGCTAAAACAACTTGTTTTCTTTCTCCCTTCGCGTTTTTAGTTCAACTAACTTAACTGTTATCGATTAGAGTTTTGCTTAATTGACTCGTACGTTTTTTTCTATTCATTTCGTCTATTATTTCGTTACTTCGTCGCGATAGTTCGCGTTCGATTTGCATTTAACCTGTTAATTATCACTCTTTTTTTTTCGCTGGTACGAATAAATGTTCGTTCATTTATTTTTTATTCGTGCATTTATGTTTCTTATAAATTGCTGCACTACCAAATAGCGTGGGCGCTTGATGAACATTCGTAGATAACGTGTGTGTAAACGAACAACTGACGGAAGGTAATGGTGTGATTGTTGGCAAACAGACACATACAGGAACTATCGAGAGTTTGTATAGAATATCAATATGAAGAATGCTTAGTATTTAATTACACATCTATCGTGTAAAACCAATGGTGTGTGTGTCCATGTGTTGGATGATCGAACATCGAACAACTAAGAAAAAAAAAAAAAAAGTTTATTCTCGGTTCTCATAGGAAAAATATCGCAATCACATCGTAATTCATTATAACTTGTGATCGCCACCACTCTCGAATTGAATAAACAAAAGCGGGAAAAAGCGAGAAATGTACTGCTTTTTCTCCATCCATCGACGAAGATACTCGTCTTTCTCTCTCTCTTTATATCATTATCTTTTTTTTTTTTTTTTTTTTTTTTTAGTTTTATTAGTGTAGTAGAATACGTAGAGCATTGGTAGCTTTTAGTCGTCTTTGTGATCGTGTAAGACTTTCCTTTTCGCTCTGCAACACTTTTTATTAATTTCTCGAGATATACACTATGGTTACATTACACTATTTACATTCTGAGGCACCTTTGGTTTTCTTCTTTCTCACTCTCGCGTCACTCTGCTTAACAAAACACGTTGTTGCCGCTTACAATTTCGTAATTTTTTTTTTTATTTTTGTTTTTTTTTGTTTTTACGAATCACACTGTCTTAAACTCACTCCATCGCTTTTTGCTCCACCAGAGTAGTGCTATAATAAAAAAAAAAAAAATCCATTATTCTCCGTAATCCTATCCAATTATTGCGCGCAGCCGTTTTAGGTTTGCGTGTCGACATCATTCACATCTTCTCTCAACTTTATAAATATATTAATATATTTTGTTGAACGAGCCGCGCACACAATCGACGAAAATTTTCACAACTCCTCGCTACACGCGCGCGGTTCCATGCATGTTTACTATTATTATATTATATTTTTATTATATTACTGTATTATATTGTAGTATTACACTGTGTTGCGACTTTTGATACCATTTTCGATTGTTGATACGAGATATATCACAAAAATGTGTCTTGAAATATCGTGAGAAAAAACGCGCGAGGCTAGCTGGCACGACCCTAACGCGTCCCTATATGTATCGCCGTTACATAGAACTTCGTGTGAATTATGTCAGGATCTTTGACTGCCGATTTATACTGTTAGGTTTGCGCCGAGCTGAAAGTTCTGGAAAGTTTTTGAATCAATCCAAAATTTTCGGACTCTCGCGCGGACTCCGAGGTTTCTCACTTTCACGGTAAAATTTATTATGTATCACGAACACCAAAGATGTGGACTTTGTTTTTTTTTTTTTATATATTGAGTAATAAAGTAATTGAATTCTTGTTTTTTACAGATTGATGTATTTTTCTCTTCGCCACTTGAGAAAGATCGGAAAAACAATTTTAATATAAACGATTTATTTTTTTTAGACTGATTCAGACAATCGTTTGAGATATTAATAATCGGACGATTATTATATAAATGTTGATGATAAATATAGATGTGATAATTTATTAATTAGCACAGTACGTAATTCAAGAAAAGACGAGTAAATCGCGTATAAACAAAAAAAAAAACGCATCTCAAATGATTTTGCGATTGGTCGTTATCAAAGATCTTGAGATAATACAGGATTATAGCTATTTCATGATTGCTTGATTTGGTAGTCGAGGTTTTGATGATGATGATGATGATGATAATGCGTTAATGTGCGATTGAAAGATATCAATTATACAAAATGTTGACTGTTTATATTCTGCATTAAGAATGCACGAATGGTCGATCAAAGATAAACAAGAAGTGTGATCTAAGCGTTTTTTTTGTTTTTATATCTGCTGTGGTTACGCATTATTTGGAAGTAATAATGTAATTTATATCGAGATTGAGAAGAAATATGAGATTTAGTTAAAGAATTTAGTTTTTTTGACGCGAACGCGTTTGTACGAACACCCAAATATTATGAACTAAATACACCGAGAGAGAGATTTAGCGATTTAAATGGATATAAAAACATTTATAATGGATCTTCTGGATCGCGCAATTAACGAATTTGTGATATCTGACAGATGCGCACGTACTAACTAAAAGATAAGATAAGTGAATTGGCACGTTTTAAATGGTGATTTTTTTTTTTTTTAAGAATTTACAGATAAAAAAAAAATTAACAGACTACCGAACCAGGTGATCGTCGAGGATCTTTGTTCTTGTTCGTACGCGAGATAATTTTGTAAACATTCCGTGAATATTTCAACTGATCTTTTTGCTTCAAATCACAGCAAGTCAGGTGACAAACGCGTTGACTAATTTCACACGTCTGTCATTCATACGTTTCGAATGGAAGTCTCGATTTTTCGTCTCGAATCGACGAAGTCTGGATATTGTTGCGATAAAAAGGCCATTTGTAAATGTCAGTTTTTAACGATGAGCGTTACGTACGAGCAAGAATGATAAAAAGTAACAAATGTCCGGAGAGAGAGAGAGAGAGAGAGAGAGAGAGAGGGGGAGGGAGGGGGGAAGAGAGAGGAAGAAGAGGAAGGAAAAACGCAAGAATAAACGAAAGTTATATCGACAGTTATTTCTACTTTTCTTCAATGTCGCAATTTTGTTTTTGACATCTCATTTATTTAATCGATTCCGTGCTGATTTCGCGCCGCTTCCACGCAAACCGTCAAGCTGTTTTTTTTTTTTTTTTCTATTTTCTTGATTCATCTAGGTGTTTCAAAATTAATAATCGCGCTTTTGCGCATCTTTCACCATGTTTTTTTTTTGTTTTTTTAATAACTTGACAAAGAGGCGGGAATGTCAAAGAAACGGCGCGAAAGGACGCATTTGTGAGAATTTAATACATCTCTTTCTCTCCATGTCGAGGGAAAAGCTCGAACTTACTATGTACTAATTTTTGAAGGGTGCGCGAAGGAAAGACTGCACCGTCGGACATCACGAAAGTATCTGTCCATTAGTAACATCGCATATAAGCATATGTGTTGATTCTTAGTTAACATTATTATATATATTATGATTATTACTATATTATTAAAATAATTTTAGTTGCTATTATTATTATTATTATTATTATTACGAATATTTACTCGCTATTATATATTATTATTATTATTATTATTATTCTATGATTATATATTCTTGAGAGTTATACATATCGTTATATACGTATAAAAAAAAAACAAAAACAAAAACGCACTGTCGCGAAAAAAACTGATGAGGAGAGACAATGCGCCACCTTGCCAGCTAGCCATCACTACCACTTCTTCGCTCCTCCCTCTCAGTAATCGACTGTGAGGTGTGTGTGCGCGCACAAGAGATTAAATTCCATTCCTACTCCATTACTCCCAAAGTAAGAACCGAGAGATGAACGTTGTGTGTATGTGTGTATGTATGTATTTTTATTACGTGCTGTGTGAGTTTTTATACATGCGTGTGCGCGCGCGCTCGCAATTCTCACGTTATTCACAAAACAAGAGATGCCCGATGCGCGCAGATATGGGAACGAAAAATACCGTTCCAGCAACGTGACTTCCTCACTGTCAGTCTCTCTTTTTTCCTTTTTTGTACTGGTTTGTTATGTTATTATTAATATTATTATTATAATATTATTGTATTATTATTATTTTTAGATGGATAAATCTCAATTGTTCTTAATTTAATTGTAAATCGTATTTTTGTTTGTTTTTTAGTTATTTTTTGTTGTAAAATGCTTTTTAATAATATTTTCAGTTCTCATTATGCATTAGCAGTGGTCTTGTTTTTTTATTTTATATGGTATTCTTATCCGCTTTTTCCCGACAATATATCAACGGCTCAATTCAAGAAAACAAAAATGTCAACAGCTTCTTTCCGAGTAAAGTCTATTTTTAATTTTCACTTCATGTGCAAATAAATAAACTTATTGTGTTACTTACTCGAATAATTTAATAATAACGACTAAAGTAGTTGTTAGTGTATTATTTATTATTTACATACAAATAATAACTATTTATTATATATTATTTATATATTGTTTATTATTTACATATAAATAATAAATAATATACGTATAATAAATGATATTCATATAAATAATAAATAATAACGTCAGCATGATTAAAAAATTCTTCAAACATTGTTCATTGTTCGAATGATTGTTAGATCACATTATGTCTCGCATGCGTTGTTTTATTATGAATAAATCCATATTACAATACACAATATACATCGTGTTGAACTGTGACGTTTTTTTGTAATTGATCCGTCGATATTTTTGCCATTTTACACACACGCACACACACACAGTTTTTTAATTTACCGATTTTCTCCTGTGTATATACCCGTTATTATGTGTGTATTCTCATGTCGCAGCATAATAGACGAGAGAGAATCTGAATTCAACAAAAACTCTCTCTCGTCAATGGTGATCAGTACCTACATTCCATGTGTGCATTACGTAGCACTGTGTTCCTGTTTGATTAGATGATGCATTATTCATTATACATAGTAATCCTTAGCTAGTTTTGTTTGTTGCTCGTCATCGTATATACGGTGTCCTCATTATATTAGTAGCGTAAATCCATTTTGATCTTTCCAGCCAGTTTAAAATCATTCCATAAAAGAGAAGAAGCGTGTGCACTGTTCCAATATTAGACAAAAATTTTTTCTCTTGTTAATTAAAAGAGTTTATCACCTTTTGAGACTTATCAGCACAATATATATGTTACACACACACACACACACACACACATTGATCGCTATTATTTATTATATCGCATATTGATCTGGATCTTCATCTTTGTATAAAATGAAAAATGTTAAATGTTATGTCTCAACATTTTTATTCACACTAAAATAAAGAGCTACTTTTTTACTATAGAGATATATTCGAGTACATTACAATATACATATTTATGCGAAGGAAATACAAGTCTTTTAATTAAGGCTTCTCACGAGTTGCTACGGTCGTTATTTTTTGGATGATGACGTCAGAAACAAAAAAAAATGCTGCAACTTACGTCAATTATAAAAGAGTATTAAAAAAAAAACACAACACAGAATATATCTCTTCTCTTGGTTCAACAACATAACCACATCAGCAAAATCGAATGAAGCGTGTCGTGAGAAGCCTTTAGAGGTGGTGTTAATTGACAAGATAAGAGTAGACCTTGGAGAGGACACCGCTTGTAGCAATTATTCTCATCACTCGACGCGATTAGATCAAAACCGCATATTAACAGTTTTCCAAAGCATTGAGTTGAGTTTTATTTAAAGAAAACAATTGTTGTTTTCTCTTATCTTTTTATTGCGAACATGTGACTCGTGAAAAAGATGTTTGATTAAACTTTAACCTGATCTCATCGATTATCTCGCTTTTCTCGATAGTTTCTTTTTTTTTCACGCGACGATTTCTCGTAACGGACGATCAAGACAAAACAAAGTAAAGCGAAGCAAATAAATAAAAAAATAAATTAAAAAAACTCGTTTCAACCAAAAGAATTCCCGCGAACGAATGCATAATGGTCTCTCGGCGGCACTCGGCGACGTCGATAAATTATTAATAAATAAAAAAAACGAGAAGAAAAAAAAAGAAGAGACAAGAGTTTGAGAAAATCAGCGGGTTATATATAGCGGATTATATATAGATGTCGTATATATTTTTGTACATTCACACACAACGCGCGTTAATTATTGTGTAACGGCCACGCCGAATACCGCCGATGATAATAGTATCAAACACAAATGCAATACGATGATCGTGAAAAAAAAAAAAGGATAAATTTGTTTTTCCTCCAGCTCTTAATCCACATTACCTTTCGACCATTTAACTTGTTCCAAGTTTTTATGGTACACGCGTATCAGATCGCAAACGCACTTGTTACGAGTAATACATCTCGTATCTCAGTTCACATGAGGGATAAGAGGAGAAGAGAGAGGAGATCGATCTCAACGATAAAATAAAATAAAAAACAAAAACAAACAAAAAAGGGAGAATAGGTATTCACGCGTTTTGAGAGGAGAAGAGGCAATTTTTTTAACTACATAAAACACACAACACGATGATACGATGTAACAGAGACATAAAAAGGCGCGCGGCGACTCTGTTTTTTGCGAGAAAGAGAGAGAAAGAAAAAAACAAGAAGAAAAATTACATTCTTCCCGGGCCCAAGTAATGTTACTTAATGAATTAAAAAAAACAACTGTGAAAATGAGGTGATAAAAAAGAATGAGTGAGAGAGAGAGAGAGATATTGGAGAGAACAAAAAGATACGAGAGCAGGGAGAAAGAGGTTGAATGGTTATAATCGCTATTTTTAACTCGAAAAAAAAAAAAAAAACTACTCC